TATTGTAAAAAGTCAAGGAAAGGTTTATATATGGAAGGAAATTTTCTTTGTTGGTTACCAGGGGTGGGAGGGGAGGGGAGTGGAGGGAATACTGCTAGCTGGGTTGTTGTTATGCGCCGTTGAGTCGTTTCTGACTCATAGCAAACTTATGTACAACAGAACGAAATACTGCCTGGTCCTGTGCCAGTCTCTCTATCCCACCTATACCTGAGCCCATCACTGCAGCCACTATGTCTATCCATCTCATTGAGGGCCTTCCCCTCTTTCATTGACCCTCCACTTAACCAAGCATGACATCCTCCTCCAGAGAATGATCCCTTCTGACAATATGACCAAAGTAAGTGAGACAAAGTCTGCCATTCTTGCTTCCAAGGAGCATTCTGGCTGCACTTCTTCCAGGATAGATTTGTTTGTCCTTTCAGCAGTCCACAGTACTTTCAGCATTCTTCACCAACACCACAACTCAAAAGCATCAACTCTTCTTCGATCTTCCTTATTCATTGTCCAGCTCTCACATGCATATGGGGTGATTGAAAATACCATGGCTTGGGTTAGGCGCATCCTAGTCTTCAAGAAGATATCTTTGCTCTTCAGCGCTTGAAAGAAGTCTTTTGCAACAGATTTGCCCAATTCAATATGTCTTTTATGTCTTGACTGCTGCTTCTATTGGCATTGATTGTAGAACCAAGTAATATGAAGTGTTTGACAACTTCAATCTTTCCTCTATCTATCATGATGCAGCTTATTGGTCCCGTTGTGAGGATTTTTGTTTTCTTTCTGTTGAGGTGTAATCTATACTGCAGACTGTAGTCTTTAATTTTCATCAGTAAGTGCTCTAAGTCATCCTCAATTTCAGCAAAGTTGTGTTGTCTGCATATTTCAGGTTGTTAATGAGCCTTCCTCTAATCCTGATGTCACGTTCTTCTTCATATAGTCCACCTTCTCGGATTATTTGCTCAGCATACAAGTTGAATAAGTATGGTGAAAGGATACAACCCTGACACACTCCCTTCCTGATTTTAAACCATACAGTATCTGATTGTGCTCAAACAGGTTCCTCATGAGTACAATTAAGTGCTCTGGAATTCCCATTCTTCTCAAAGTTACCCATAATTTGTTATGATCCACACAATCAAATGTCTTTGGATAGTCAATAAAACACAAGTAAACATCTTTCTGGTATTCTTTGCTTTCAGCCAAGAACCATCTGACATCAGCAATGATATCTCTCATTCCACGTCCCCTTCTGAATCCAGCTTGCATTTCTGGAAGTTCTCTATCAATATACTGCTGCAACTGGTTTTGAATTATCTTCAGTAAGATTTTACTTGCATGTGATATCAATGATATTGTTCGATAATTTCCGCATTCTGTGGGATCACCTTTCTTTGGAATGGGTACAAATATGGATCTCTTCCAGTCAGTTGGCCAGGTAGCTGTCTTCCAAATCTCTTGGCATAGCCAAATGAGTGGCTCCAGTGGGGCATCTGTTTGTTGAAACATCTCAGTGGGTATTCCATCAATTCCCGGAGCTTTGTTTTTCGCCACTTCCTTCAGTGCAGCTTTGACTTCTCCCTTCAATACCATTGGTTCTTGATCATATGCCACCTCCTGAAATGGATGATCATTTACCAATTCTTTTTGGTATAATGACTCTGTATTCCATCCATCTTCTTTTGATGTTTCCTGCATCATTCAACATGTTGCCCATGGAATCTTTCAATACTGCAATTTGAGGCTTAAATTTTTTTCCTCTGTTCTTTCAGCTTGAGAAATGCCGAGTGTGTTATTCCCTTTTGGTTTCCTAATTCCAACTCTTGGCACATTTCATTATAATAATTGACTTTGTCTTCTCAAGCCGCTCTTTGAAATCTTCTGTTCAGCTCTTTTATCCTATCGACTCTCCCATTTGCTTTAGCTCTTCTCTCTTCTAGGGCAAGTTTCAGAGTCTCCTCTGACATCCACTTTGGTCTTTTTTTCCTTTCCTGGCTTTTTAATGACCTTTTGCTTTCTTCATGGATGATGTTCTTGATGTCATCCCACAATTCTTCTGGTGTTTGGTCATTGGTGCTCAATGCATCAAATCTGTTCTTTAGATGACCTCTAAATTCAGGAGGGATAAAATCAAGGTTATATTTTGCCTTTTGTGGAGTTGTTTAGATTGTCTTCAGTTTCAACTTGAACTTCCATATGAGCAGTTGATGGTCTGTTCCATAATCAGCTCCTGGTCTTGTTTTGGCTGAAGATACTGAGCTTCTCCAATGCCTCTTGCCACAGATGT